CGTGTCGTGGGCTCTCTCTCCTCCCTCCCCTCCTCCTCCTCCTCCTCCTCCTCCTCCTCCTCCTCCTCCTCCTCCTCTCCTCCTCCTCCTTCCCCTCCTCCTCCTCCTCCTCCTCCTCCTCCTCCTCCTCCTCCTCCTCCTCCTCCTCCTCCTCCTCCTCCTCCCCTGCCCTCCGGGCTGGAAAAGACGTGTGGGGGGCTGCCAGATCGAGGCCTCGAGGCCCGATCGCGGACACCGAGGCTCGAGCGCATCGAGGAGATGGAGGACGTCGAGGCCCCCTCGAGGGCATCGAGGCCCCCACCGAGGCCAGCGAGGCCCCCAGTGAGGGCATCGGGGCCCGATCGGGGCCCGCCCAGGGCCCGATCGAGGGTGCCGAGGCCCGATCGAGGAAGGAGAGCGAGGATCCCGAGGAGGTCGAGGCGCGATCGAGGGCACCGACGGGCCGTCGAGGCGATCGCGGCGCCCTCGAGGACGGCCCCCGCCGCCCGCGCCGCCCCGCCAGGGCAGCGGCGGCGACGCGGCGCCGAGGCAGGAGGCCGCCCCGGCGCGGCCGCCAGACGACGAGGCGCGGCGCGGGCCGGGCGGCGGGGGCTCCCCGCGGGGAGCGCAGCCATTCAGGAGGGAAAGGAACACACAGACACAATTCATCGTCGATTCCCCCGAAAATCTGGGAAAATATTGGAAGTGGGGGGGAAGACAAAAAATCAAGAAAACACGGGAAAATATGGGGAATCCTGTCATTCGTGTGTGTGTGTGTGTGTGTGTGTGTGTGTGTGTGTGTGTGTGTGTGTGTGTGTGTGTGTGTGTGTGTGTGTGTGTGTGTGTGTGTGTGTGTGTGTGTGTGTGTGTGTGTGTGGTGTGTGTGTGTGTGTGTGTGTGAGTGTGTGTGTGTGTGTGTGTGTTGTGTGTGTGTGTGTGTGTGTGTGTGTGTGTGTGTGTGTGTGTGTGTGTGTGTGTGTGTGTGTGTGTGTGTGTGTAGTGTGTGTGTTTGTGTGTGGTGTGTGTGTGTGTGTTTGTGTGTGTTGTGTTTGTGGTGTGTGTGTGTGTGTGTGTGTGTGTGTGTGTGTGTGTGTGTGTGTGTGTGTGTGTGTGTGTGTAGTGTGTGTGTGTGTGTGTGTGTGTGTGGTGTGTGTGTGTGTGTGTGTGTGTGTGTGTGTGTTGTGTGTGTGTGTGTGTGTGTGTGAGTGTGTGTTGTGTGTGTGTGTGTGTGTGTGTGTGTGTGTGTGTGTGGTGTTGTGTGTAGTGTTGTGTGAGTGTGTGTGTGTGTGTGTGTGTGTGTGGGTGTGTGTGTGTGTGTGTGTGTTGTGTGTGTGTGTGTGTTGGTGTGTGGTGGTGTGTGTTGGTTGTGGTGTGTGTTGTGTGTGTGTGTCGTGTTGTGTGTGTGTGAGTGTGTGTGTGTGTGTGTTGTGTGTGGAGTGTGTGTGGTGGTGTGGGTGTGGTGGGGTGTGTGGTGTGTGTGTGTGTGTGTGTGTGTGTGTGTGTGTGTGTGTGTGTGTGTGTGTGTGTGTGTGTGTGTGTGTGTGTGTGTGTGTGTGTGTGTGTGTGTGTGTGTGTGTGTGTGTGTGTGTGTGTGTGTGTGTGTGTGTGTATTTGTTTGCGTGTCCCACGGCCCCTTCAGCCATGCCAGACCCCCCTCGCGTTGTGAAAAACCGCGGCGGGGGGTTCGGCCGCGAGAAAAACGATTCGGGGTGGAAAGCCGGTCCCGGGGAAGGGGTCCAGACATCTGGGGTGGGGGTCGAAGTTGTGACGAAAATCACGGCGTCGGGGGTTTGGGCAGGGAGTGCCGCCGTGGGCGAGGTTGCAGCCGGGAGGGGACAGATCGACTACGCTTACAGTCGGACCGAAGCATGAGATCGAGGTCGGTTCGGGGGGGGTACCCTGACGTTCTCCGTGTCTGCTGGATGTTTTTGTGAATCTTGGGGGGGGATGCTCTCGAGTGATCTGATGGTTTGGGGCGTTTTGGTCGGCGGAGGGTCTCATGTTCTTGGAGGATGCTCTTCTGCCCTAGGTCTGACTGTAAGGGTGACCTTTCGCCAGAGTGACCTCGGGTGTGGGTCCAGTGGAGCCCCCCCCGATCGCGGAGCGCGCAGCGGCAGCAGCGGCTTGCGCGCCAAGGTTCGGCCACCCCGCGTCCCCCCGCTGAGTCGCGCACCGAAGAGGTCCCGGTTGCCTACTAGGGCCACTCGTCCGCGTAGGGGGGGGGCAGGAGGAGGGAGGAGGAGGAGGAGGAGGAGGGGGGGAGGGAGGAGGAGGGAGAGGAGGAGGAGGAGGGGGGGGGAGGGGAGGGGGAGGAGGGGGAGGGGGGGAGGAGGGAGGGAGGAGGAGGAGGAGCGCGGGGGGGAGGAGGGGGGTGGGGAGGAGGGGGGAAGGAGGAGGAGGAGGAGGAGGTAGGAGGAGAGAGGATGACCCAGATCTCCGAAGGCATGGTGTTTCTCTCGCGCTTGCCTCTTGGCATCGGCCTCCGGGGGGGCCCTCGAAGGTGGAGATCCGGACGCACAGGTGCCCCCAGGGAAGGGGTCGGGCACCCTGGGGCCGCGCATTGGAACAACAAGAATCACATCGGAGGACGTCTGGGCGGCACGGCGGGGCGGCGGAGCCGACGCCGAGTCGGATGGGTCGTGTCGAAACGGACCCGGCTTCGGGTGATGGAGCCGCAGCCCCTTCCTGGGGGCGGCCAAGAGGGGGGCGTCCCAGAGGGCGGGGCGCAAATCGCGGCCGGCGGCGTGTGCGCGGCCCAGGGGGGGGGCCAACGTGGAACGTCCTCAGCGGACCCGTCCGATGGCGTAAGCCGTCGAGGGACTGCTGCCATGGCTCCCGGCGCGTGGATCTCGGCCACGGGCCCCGAGTTTTTGCGCGGGCTCGGCGCGCGCGGCCGCCGAGCTGGGCGGCACTGGCGTGTGTGTGCGCCGGCCCCGGCCTGTGGAGCTGGCGCCCGCGCGCCGGATCCTCGGAGGCCCAATCTGCCCAGAGATCCGACGTCGTGATTTTTTCAATGCGCGGTCCCCGGAAGCCTCGATCCATTCCCCAGGACCGGTTTTTCATCCTGAGTCGTTTTTTGACGGTCCCGGGGCCCGGCGACGGCCCCTAGAGGCCGAAAATTGCGAAAAACCTCCGTCGTGATTTTTTCAGGACGTTGGATCTCTGGGTGTGCCAGCGCGCGCCCGATGCGAGGGCTTTGTTTTATTTCCACACGCATCTTGACAACGTTGACCAAGCTGCGCCTGGAGGGGGGGCCCCTCGGCCGGGCATGTAGGCGTATGTACCTCGCGCAGGTCTGGGGCAGGCTGCGATGGCCAAGGCACTGATGTCCGCTTCGAGGTTCGAAGAACCACCTCTCGTGGGCCGCCCGAGAGATGAGGGCGAGGATGAGGCGGAGCGATCCGATGCCGACTCGATGCCGATTCTCAGGGCACCGATGCCGCTGTCCCTCCCCAGGTTTCGCCTCTGTTGGGCTTCCTCCCGGCAGGCCCTCGTCGCAGCGGCCGGATTCGCCTCGAGGTCCTGGTCAGAACGCGCCCCGGGAGAGATCCGTGGAGAGTAGCAGTCTTTGGAGCGTGGCTTCCAGTTTTGCCTGGTGCCGAGGAGGATGAGGATGAGGATGAGGATGACGGGTCCCGATCTCCGACGAGTCCCTGCCGTTCTTGGGCGTGCCCGTCGGTTCTCGGGCGTTTTTTCCCGCCTCGGGAGGCTCCTCGGCGGCGGAGGCTCGTCCCAGATCGCCGACGAGTCTCTGCCGCATGCGGACGTTCTCGTCGGCTCTCGAAGGTTTTCTCCAGCCTCGGGATGCTCCTCGGCGGCTGCACCTCGCCGCATAGTTCTCACCGACGAGTCTCTGCCGCATTCGGACGTTCTCGTCGGCCCTCGAAGGTTTTCCAGCCTCGGGATGCTCCTCGGCGGCCGAGGCTCGCCCCAGATCTCCAACGAGTTTCTGACGTCTTGGGACGTTCTCTCGTCGGCTCTCGAAGGTGGTCCAGCCTCGGGCTCTTTCTCGGCGGCTGCGCCCCGTCGAGAGAGCGCTCCGGGGGCGCCCGGAGATCGTCCCGAGCTGCGCGCGGAGGCCCGAGCTGTGGCCCGAAGGCCTATAGATCTCTGACGACGTGATCTTGTGCCCACCGGCGGCTCGGCCTCGATTTCGGCCCTCGCCCTGGCCCGGGATCCCCCGTATCGGAGGCGGACAGAACCCCCAACAGTGACACGTCGATCAGTGGATTGTCCGTTTTCGGTTCTCGAGAGGGCGCCGTGGCCGTTATCTTCCAGGCTTGCGCCCGCCAGGTTTGGGCCTCAGGTCGTTTTCACTGAACCACGTTTTACACTACAGGGGTGTCTGTCCATCCCCGACCGTACTGTCTGGGCGATGTCGTGAGTAGGGCAGACATCCCCGCCCCCCGGTTCCAGCTCCTTTGAGCTCGATTTCCGCCCCGCTTTGCCGTCGCTGTTTCCGTCCTAGCATTGCAGAACTATGCGCCCATTTTATCCTGAGGCGGACGTTTCTGGCCTATTGCTTCGCATCGTTCGGTGTTCATGTCTGACACAGCTGTACGTCGGAGAAACAATTAAAGAAAGTACGGCGGATCCGAAGTCAAGGGATCCCTGGACCCGGATTTCCGACGATGTGATTTTTGTACACCGGCGGCTTTTCCTCGAGTTCTGCCTTCGGGCCCCGTGCCTGTTCGAGCACTGGGGTCTTCAGAAACTTGGATCCAGGACGAAAAAGTGCGCCCAGGGAAGCGGTCGGGACTTCTGGGCCGCGCACTTCATCGAATCGTATCGGCGGATGTCCTGGTTCGCACCTGCGCAGAGAATCACGAGTGGAGATACTGGGCCACTCGCTCGGCCTTCGGGGGCCCTCGCCTGACCCCAGGGCTCGTCGAGAAGCGACACGGGATGACAAGCCAGCGTTGGAGAGAGAGAGAGAGAGATGGTCTGGCGGCGGCGGTGGGCACGGAAGCAAGGCGGCGGAGGCGGCGGTGGCAGGGGTGGCGCCCGAAGGCCACGAGGAAGCTCTGGGAGGGCGGGGAGGGGGATCGTAGCCTTAAGTCGAGCCTGTCCCCTTACAGGGGGATTTTCGACGAAAAATAAAAAATACCCCAAGAAATAGTCAAAAAATAGTATGGGGACTATTTTTTGAGTATTGTTTGGCCTTTGTGGTGCATTTTGGGGGTATTCTTTTATTTTTTTGTCGAAAATCGCCCTGTATGGGGGACACGCCCGACATGATCGTAGCCCGAGAGGGGGTGACGACTAGGGGGTGATGTCGTCGACGGATGGGAGTGGGAAGGGAAGTCTTCGATCGCTCCTGGAAGTCGGGGCGGCCAGGGCAGGGGGGGAGGCCCGAACAGACAGCTCCTGTCCTGCGCCCCCCCGTCAGGGCTCCCAGAGGTTTTTCCCAGCGCCGGGACGCTTTTTCCAGCAGCTGCGCCTCGCCGAGGGCGTTGCTCGGGGTTGCTCGCCGAGCAGCCCGCCCGCCGCAGGCCCGAGCGACTGGACCCCGAAGACCACCAGGCTTCGAGGAGGGGGTGAGGACTATAGGTCCTCGCGCCGTGAAAAAATCACGGCGGGAGGTTTTTCGCCATTTTCGGCCTCCGGGGGTCCTCGCCGGGCCTCGGGACCGTCAAAAAACGACTCAGGACGAAAAACCGGTCCCGGGGAATGGGTCTGGACCTCTGGGGGTCGCGTCATGAAAAAATCATGACGCCGGGGGTCTGGGGAGAGGGAGATATCGTGGCCGGGGCCATGGCGGGAGAGGGAGACTTCATGGCCCCTCCTTCTTGTTTCAATGCGTCCCTTGGCCCCCCCCGCCCTGACTTCGAGCCCGCCGTGTCTTGGTAGGTTCTCTTGCAGATAGTGTGGAATTGTGTCCGAAACGCACCCCAAGCAATGCGAGAAAGCCGGGCGGGCATCTCCGCCTCAGGAGCAGCAGGGCGGAGGTGTAGCTTCGCAGAGAGGCACGGCGGCTGCGGCGACGGCAGACCAGGGCGGACCTCGACGCCCGAGGAGCTCGCAGGGCCCGCTCCGTTCTCGACGCCGCCCACGGCGGCACGGCAGGAGGAGGAGGAGGAGGAGGAGGAGGAGGAGGAGGAGAAGGAGGAGGAGCCTGGGCGGGCGGGCGCCGCACACGCGCCTCGGCCCACGCTCTGCGCCTCTCCCGCTCTTCCACGCCCCCGGGCCCTCGCTCGGCCCGGGAAGGGCCCCGGCGCCCTCGCCTCCAGGTGCTCTATCGGGCCTCCCAGGGGTCCCAAACCTCCTCGCGCTGTGGAAAAATCACGACGGGAGGTTTTTCTATATTTTCGGCTTCTGGAGACCCTCACCGGGCCTCGAGACCGTCAAAAAACGACTCAGAACGAAAGGCCGGTCCCGGGGAAGGGGTCCAGACCTCTGGGGGTCGCGTCATGAAAAAATCAAGACGTCGGGGGTCTGGGGTGGGGCAGTAGCAGCAGACGGGGTCGGAGGATCGCGCCGCGCCGCCCTGGCACGGGCGATGCGGCGCGCTGCGGAGCCCAAAGTTCTTCACGCCGACGGCGCCGATGCATCGCCGATGCATCGCCGACGCATCGCCGACGCATCGGCGACGCGGCGCGGTCCTCCGACCCCTTCTGCTCGGAGCCCACTTGGGGGGCCTCTGTAGGTGCGGGCGCCCGCGCGAGGCCGAGCCCCTGCGGCGGAGGGGCCTTCCCGGACCTGCGGCGTTCTGCCTGCCGCGGCCACGGCGCTCTTCCCCGGTCTCCCCCGACGTGGGATCCACCGTGCTTTGGTTGGCCGTCCGAGCTCAGGGCGTGTCCGAAGTGCACCCCGAACGCTGCGAGCTTGTGGGGCGGAAGCTCTCGCCCCAGGAAGAGTGGGGCGGGCATTTCTCCGCGAGGGGCACGGCGGAAGTCGACGTCGAGTCAGCGGCGTGCCCGGGGGGGGCAGTGCGAAAGGGCGGGCCTCCTCGGAAGGCTCGGAAGCCCCCCGGCCTTCCGAGAGGTGTCCCAAGCCTTCCCCGAAGACGCCGACCATTTCTCAGAAGGCGCGAGGGCTTCGGAGGAATCCCGACGCCTTTGAGAAGGCCTGCTCCTTCTCACGTCCCCCCCTCTCTCACTGCCCATCGAAGGAGCTTGCAGAGTAGGGTTAGGTCGGGCCCGTCCCCCTACAGGCCAACGTTTGACGAAGAATAGGAAATAGTTGAAACAAAGAATCCACAAATGGTCAGACAATAGTCCTGAAACCGTCCCCAGACTCTTCTGTTACGATTTTTGAAATTCCCCTCCTGTAGGGGGACAGGCCCGACCTACAAGTAGGGCCGGGAGCTCCGCTCTGCTCACCACGTCGCCCAAACCCGCACGGCGGCTCTCCGAAGTCCGGGGATCGGCCTCCGGGGCCACCGTCCAGCTGCCGGGCCCTGCGGCCCTGCTGCAGCAAGAGCGGAGCCCGGAGGGAAACCTTTGGCCCCCGAGGTTTCGGGCCGCACGAAAGGGGGGGATAGGGAAAGGGGGGGGTACTCCAGATTTCGTAATAAAAGGGAGGGGGTCTGGACCCTCCAAGACAAGCCATTTCAGACCTCCCCCGTGGGAGAACCCTCCAAAACATCGTCCCCAGACCCCCCCAGGCCCTCCAAGATAGCCTGGAAGAGACCCACCCCCGAAATGAGACCCCCTCCCTTTTATTACAAAATCTGGAGTACGAAATCTGCTGCATGCAGCTGGTTTCGGCCCCCACCGAGGGGCCCATGCCTCGATGCATGGGCGCCTCCGGCGCCGGGAGGCGCGGGGAAAATCAGCCACGTGAGCTGATTCTCAAGCTCCCCCTTAGCTATCCCCCCCTTTCGACCGGCGCGACGGACGGCCATGAGATCCTGGCGCCTCAACTTTTTTCGAGCTCAGCGTCTTCACTTCTTTCCTTTGTTCTGGGCCACGGGACCCTCACAGGTCGATGCAGCTCGAGAGGAATGACCCAGAAAGACTGGGTCCAGGGCTCCGGGCGTGATCTGTTTTCGATGTTGCAATTTTGTCGTTGCGTCTGCTCCCAGGGGGGGTCGGGACCTCTGGGGCCGGGCGTTGAAGGAAACAAATCTTAAGTCGGGCTTGTCCCTCTACAGGAGGAATGCTCAAGAGTAGTTTAAAAATAGTCTGGGGACGGTTTTTCCAATATTTGATGGTCATCTTTGTTTTTTTGTTGTGACAGTTTTTAATTTTTCGTCCAAATTCGGCCTGTAGGGGGACAGGCCCGACCTAAAGCAAATGTCAGGACGCCTGGGCCTTTTTTTCGCGCGTGCTCGCATGGGCCCACACGTGTCTGCGCGCTTGGGGAATTGCCCCCTCCGCCCCCCCCCCCCCTCTCTCGCTGCCCTCAGAAGCCGCGCACACGGGGCCACTCTCGGGGAGAACGACAGGGGGGGGATAGCAGAGGGTAGGGTAGAGAATCAGCTCACGTAGCCGATTCTCCGAGCGCCCCTCGGCGCCGGGAGGCGCCCATGTATCGAGGAATGGGCCCGGCGGCGGGGCCGAAGCCAGCTGCACGCAGCAGATTTCGTAACCCCCCCGTTCCCTACCCCCCCATCTTGTTCGGTCAGGTAGAGAACACTGGAGGCGAGGGCGCCGGGCCGGGAAGAGGGGGCCGAGCGAGGGCCGAGGGGGCGTGGAAGAGCGGGGGGCACAAGTCGTGGGCCGAGGCACGTGTGCGGTGCCCGCCCAGGCTCCGGGTCCGCCGTGCCGCCGTGGGCGGCGTCGAGAGCGGAGCGGGCCCTGGCCTCCCAGACCCCCGACGTCATGATTTTTTCATTACGTCGACTCCAGAATTCTCGACCCCTTCCCCAGGACCGGTTCGTCATCCTGAGTCGTTTTTTGACGCTCCCGAGGCCCGGTGAGGGCCCCCAGAGGCCGAAAATGGCGAAAAGCCTCCCGTCGTGATTTTTTCACGACTCGAGGGGGTCTGGGCTTGCAAGCTCCTGTCTCGTTCGGCCCGGCACTCTGGCCAGCCGGGGCCACCCTTGGCGCGTAGAGGCGGCCGGAGCGGGCGCCCTAACGACCGCCACAGGCCGCGGCCGCGCCCGCCCGGCCCTGTGCGGGGCCCCAGCGCTGGCCCGCACGGGCGGTCTTCTCGGCACGGTCGAAGCGGGGGCCGAAGCAGTGGCCCAGAGATCCAACGCATTGAAAAAATCAAGGAGCAGGTTTTTCGTAATTTTCGGCCTCTGGGGGCCCTCGCCGGGCCTCGGGAGCGTCAAAAAACGACTCAGGATGAAAAACCGGTCCTGGGGAATGGGTCGAGACCTCCGGGGACCCCGCATTGAAAAAATCACGACGTCGGATCTCTGGGGGGGACGAAGACGAAGAGCAGTCCCTGCCCATGTTTCGGGGGCGGCAAAGAGGGGGGTGATGACCAGGGGGTGGACATCATGGCGTGGGCCATGAGATTTCCCCAGACTTCATGGCGCCCGTCCTTATTTCATTACGTCCCTGCCCCCCCCCCCCCCCCCCTGAGCAGCGCACGTGCCGCCGGCCATGATGTGCACCCCCCCCTCTTGGACGCCCACCTCTTGGCCGCTCCCGAATGTTGATGAGAAGTCGCTGTCGGAGTCGCTGCGGACGCTGCCCACGTGGGACGATCATCGCCTGTCCAACGTCGGTCGCCGATGGCGTTGGGCAACGTCTGCTGTTGGGCATCCTCCCCCTGCTGTCCGCCTCCACTCAGGGCGTGCCAGTATCACTATTGCTGCGAACAGTAGACGCACGCATTCCTCATTGTCTTCTTGATTGCCCGTTTACTTGTCGTCATTGCCCCATTGACTTGCGATCAACGGTATCATTGACTGAGATAGCTGGCTGTTTCTTATGACTGATCATCCCCCCGTGCAGAAGACCACGTCGCCTCCTGCGACCCCGGCGCCTCCTGGCACGACGGCGCAGTGGTCCTTCAACTGCCATCATTTCCTGCTCCAGTGGCAGTTTGCGTGGTCAAAGGCGAAGCAGGACGCGGGCTCCCCAGCAGGGGGGGGGAGAGGAGCAGGAGCAGGAGCAGCCGCAGG